CTATCTATCTATCTATCTATCTATCTATCTATCTATCTATCTATCTATCTATCTATCTATCTATCTATCTATCTATCTATCTATCTATCTATCCACATATGTTATGTTATAGATTTATATGTAATTTAAAATATATATTGTAAAATATGCAATAAAAATGATGCAAATTTTTTTTATTAAATTACTTTGAAATTGAGTGTGTAACTCAGATATAAACTGTTATTTTAGTATAATTGAAATATAATTATATATTTTTATTAATATTTTGAATCAGTTTTTATTTTTATATTTTCCATTTTCACCTTCATTATAAAGTTGTAGTAATTTAGTTGTGCATTTTTGTCATTTTAGTCGTTTTTGTTTATTCTATCTATCTATCTATCTATCTATCTATCTATCTATCTATCTATCTATCTATCTATCTATCTATCTATCTATCTATCTATCTATCTATCTAAATTATTACATACATACAAAGTATATAAAATGTATATACTGGATGTATATATATATATATATATATATATATATATATATATATATATATATATATATATATATACGATACACATAAAATATGCATAAAACAATGGATTTAATCTGTTATAGCAGTATTTGGAAACATTAATTATAGTAGAATTTTAAAGCAACAAAATCAAATTTTATAATTGTTTATACATTATTTAAAAAAAATATTCTAATGATATAAATGCAAACGTTTATTTGCATAAGCATTGGTGCATTGTGCTTATTTTATAAGCATTGGTGTATTTTACCAAATTGCTTTTACCGTTGTTTTATAAAATGATTGACATTGTTTCTAAAATCTTCACATACTCTAAATAATATTTAAATGATATCTGCAGATGAACACAACTGGTTTACTCAATAACAGTGAAACTTGTATCTTCTTCTCCAGAATCATTATAGATTCAATGATATAAAGTTAGAGATTAAAAACAGCAGTACAAATTATGTATTCATGATGATAAGAGCTAGTATTTAGCATGCATATTTACATTGATGGTTTATGGACCTGTGTGCAAAACGAGAAAATCCATGGGATAGCTGGGGTTTATTAAATGTTTTTATAGCGCTACAGTTTACACATTGTGGTGAAATCAATTTAAAATAGTTTACTTACAGTTGTCGCCGCATATTAAGCTTGGATATAACAATATATTTGAACTTTTAAGGTACAAAGCTACAAAATCTGTCACTGGGGTGGTACATTTTCAAAAGTACTTTAGTAATAAAGTACTTTTGTACTTTATTTACCCCTAAAAGATGCTTATTAGTACCTTAAAGGTGCATATTAATACCTCAATGGTACATATTAGTATCTTTTGAACGCATACTGCCCCAGTGACAGATTTTGTACCTTTTTTTCTGAGCGTGTGGGTTCTTTCTCAATCAGTCTAATGTTGGATTTGAGATGTCATGGCTGTGTTGTATCAACCACACATGCTCACTGCCCGCCAGTGTCATCCAGCTAAGCTCATTCTAGTCTAATTAATTAGCTATTATTAGCTAAATATGCTTCTGAAGGGCCAGTCTCTGTGTTGTGACACTATTTGCCCAGTGGAGCTCCTGTAATAAAGTGTACAAATTCACCAGATAATTGTGCGCTGATACTGGTGGTGCACCTCAAGTGCGTACACTTGAACCCATGGTGCTCCAGGCCCTGCCGTGTGTGTGTGTGTGTGTGATGGGGGTTGGTCGGATTGCATTATTCATCTGCACTGCTGAGGCGTCCCTCCCCAACTCTGTCTGAGCTCAAGGAGAGGCAGAAAATTAACAGGCCAGACCTGTTCACATGAACTAATAGCTCAAAGCCACTCTCAAAGACAGATAAATAGATATTTAAATTGCATTTACTTTGGAAATTCAACCGAGATAGTTTTCATTAGACGTGTAATCACTGGCTGAATGCAAACGGAGTGATGTCGCCTTACTTAAGATGAAAGAAATAAAACCAGATTCGTACTTTGCTCTTAAGACTAATGACATGTTCCTGCCATACTGATGTTACTATTAAAATGATAATTTAAGGTGACAGGTTTAAGCAATAATCAAATCTGCACTCAGAAATATAAAATGAAAGCTGTCAGTTAGGAAAAAGAATACAGCATGCATAAACCTGGAAAAAATATCCTTATTAACCTGAAACACTTGCAGGGGTCAAAAACACTAATTTTTTCCTATATTTGACTTTTCAATTAATATTACAGATGTTCCATAATTGGTGTGTCTTTGATCACGTGAAATAGTATTTACAACATTTATTTTACTATTTTTTATATTCAATAAAAATACAAACGTTTATAAAATCTATCTATCTATCTATCTATCTATCTATCTATCTATCCATCCATCCATCCATCCATCCATCCATCCATCCATCCATCCATCCATCCATCCATCCATCCATCCATCCATCCATCCATCCATCCATCCATCCATCCATCCATCCATCCATCCATCCATCCATCCATCCATCCATCCATCCATCCATCCATCCATCCATCCATCCATCCATCCATCCATCCATCCATCCATCCATCCATCCATCCATCCATCCATCCATCCATCCAGTGATTACATACATAAAGTATATATATATATATATATATATATATTCTATAAACATATTCTAATGATATAAATGCTATCTATATCTATCTATAAATGCTGTAAATATTCTATCTATCAATATTTAGCATAAAATAAAAAATAAATGTTGCAAAGATATGAATGCAATTCCATCCATGTATTCTGTTTGGCAAGAAATCAAATTAATATAACTAAGAAAGAACATATTTGAATATAAAAAAAATAAATTAATAAATAAACACACAAACAGAAAGGTAGAAAACTTGTTTGTCAAAAACAGCGGGCAAAGCAAAACTCCTCACATGCAAGAGTAACAGCTCCCAATGGCAGAAGAAACAGAGAAACGGAACATCTCTCTCCTCCTTTGATTCGTCCCTTGCCGTTTTTCCGGATCGGTTTGCCCGCGCCGCTCGCATCTGGGCCGCATTCCACCCACCCTGCGGGAGCTCGCACTGTCCGTCTGAAATTCTGCCGGAATAAAAATGTCATTGGCATTCTCCTTCATACTCCAATAAAAGAGGATACATTGACTTATCGGAGGTGGGGAGATTCCATCCAGCACAAAGCCTCGTCTGCTAGAATCATTCTTAGGGGCCGTAAAAAGTGTGCATGTCAAACGAGCCCCAGGGACGGCCCCTCAGCTGAGGTGATCTGCAGGTTTAGCAAAGCGAATTGACTGGACACCATCAGTTAATTAGGCATTTCAATACACCATTTCTCAGACAAGCTTTTCTAGGCGAGCGTGGGTAACTGAATATATTTCTTCTCTTTCAAGCTTTACGGCCGAGCTCTATATCAAAAGCTTTGCGCAGCTGAAAGATGGGGATGCTGTCTTTAACTGGGATTGACAGAGGCTCGCTCCTGAAACGCATCACCAGAATTGGAGAATAGGTAAATTTGTCAGGAGACAAAGGCCTGCCAGAGTTTGAGGCAATACGTGCTGTATATTTTTCAGATAATAAGGCATTAAATAGATCTGAACAGCTCAAAGAGGGATCTGGGCGGTTATTGCAGCTTGCAGGGGTCAAAAACACTAATTTTTTCCTATATTTGACTTTTCAATTAATATTACAGATGTTCCATAATTGGTGTGTCTTTGATCACGTGAAATAGTATTTACAACATTTATTTTACTATTTTTTATATTCAATAAAAATACAAACGTTTATAAAATCTATCTATCTATCTATCTATCTATCTATCTATCTATCTATCTATCTATCTATCTATCTATCTATCTATTCCATCCATCCATCCATCCATCCATCCATCCATCCATCCATCCATCCATCCAATGATTACATACATAAAGTATATATATATATATATATATTCTATAAACATATTCTAATGATATAAATGCTATCTATATCTATCTATAAATGCTGTAAATATTCTATCTATCAATATTTAGCATAAAATAAAAAATAAATGTTGCAAAGATATGAATGCAATTCCATCCATGTATTCTGTTTGGCAAGAAATCAAATTAATATAACTAAGAAAGAACATATTTGAATATAAAAAAAATAAATTAATAAATAAACACACAAACAGAAAGGTAGAAAACTTGTTTGTCAAAAACAGCGGGCAAAGCAAAACTCCTCACATGCAAGAGTAACAGCTCCCAATGGCAGAAGAAACAGAGAAACGGAACATCTCTCTCCTCCTTTGATTCGTCCCTTGCCGTTTTTCCGGATCGGTTTGCCCGCGCCGCTCGCATCTGGGCCGCATTCCACCCACCCTGCGGGAGCTCGCACTGTCCGTCTGAAATTCTGCCGGAATAAAAATGTCATTGGCATTCTCCTTCATACTCCAATAAAAGAGGATACATTGACTTATCGGAGGTGGGGAGATTCCATCCAGCACAAAGCCTCGTCTGCTAGAATCATTCTTAGGGGCCGTAAAAAGTGTGCATGTCAAACGAGCCCCAGGGACGGCCCCTCAGCTGAGGTGATCTGCAGGTTTAGCAAAGCGAATTGACTGGACACCATCAGTTAATTAGGCATTTCAATACACCATTTCTCAGACAAGCTTTTCTAGGCGAGCGTGGGTAACTGAATATATTTCTTCTCTTTCAAGCTTTACGGCCGAGCTCTATATCAAAAGCTTTGCGCAGCTGAAAGATGGGGATGCTGTCTTTAACTGGGATTGACAGAGGCTCGCTCCTGAAACGCATCACCAGAATTGGAGAATAGGTAAATTTGTCAGGAGACAAAGGCCTGCCAGAGTTTGAGGCAATACGTGCTGTATATTTTTCAGATAATAAGGCATTAAATAGATCTGAACAGCTCAAAGAGGGATCTGGGCGGTTATTGCAGAAGCGCAGCAGGCAGAAATCCCTGACAATACCCTGTTCAGACAGTTTTACATTGTTTCAACACACATTTATCATCTTTCTACGTCCAAATGTGATCACTCAGTGCACTCTACAGAACATCATATATTACATTATTCCAGGAGGGCAAAGATTCCCGCGCCTGCTGAGAAATAGACCCCGGCACGCGCTCTCTCTCCTCCTCTCTGTAAATGACGGCGCTGTCTTACTGCTTTCTGCCAATTTAAACTAACAGTCTATAAATCTCAGAAGCTATGCTACACATGCTGCTTTATGAAAGCTTTAACTCAAATAATACTTGTTACAACTAGATTTTGACATTTTCTGAGGGCTGCTTGGACATGTTTCGGGTGGTTGTCAAGGTGTTGCTATGTGGTTGCAAAGATGTTCTGAGGGGTTTTAGTGCATTGCTTCGGGGTTGCTTACTAGCTTAAGTCAAAAGAGCCCACCCCCAGGATAATCTACGGTCCCTTGCAAGTGCATGGGATTTGTCCATTTGTGAGGAAAAAGTAGAGTGTTGCTAAGATGTTCTGCGGGTTTTAATGCATTGTATTGTGGTTGTTAAAAAAGACTCTACAAATAGGATGCATGGAAAATGCATGGAATTTTTCCAAATGCTGGGAAAAAATGAAAGTCTGATTGTTTCTCTTCAACATGCACAAATGTTGTGGGATGAGTTCCTAGCCAAAAAGTTTGATGAGCAATAATAATAATGATCCTTTGCCTTTGCAAATTCTACTAACTTGTTCAAACTATTGTATGCCATAGGATTCATTAAAATGTACTGGAAAACATGTACTGAATAAGATGTTCTGCGGGTTTTTAATGCATTGTTTTGTGGTTGTTAAAAAAGACTCTACAAATAGGATGCATGGAAAATGCATGGAATTTTTCCAAATGCTGGGAAAAAATTAAAGTCTGATTGTTTCTCTTCAACATGCACAAATGTTGTGGGATGAGTTCCTAGCCAAAAAGTTTGATGAGCAATAATAATAATGATCCTTTGCCTTTGCAAATTCTACTAACTTGTTCAAACTATTGTATGCCATAGGATTCATTAAAATGTACTGGAAAACATGTACTGAAATTATGTTTCCACAAAAACAGGAAAAAGTCATCCAGATAGTTGATGAACAAATCAATGTAGAATTGGTCAAAAGTATGATTCGCCACAACAGATTTGAATTCTTTCTATTAAGTCAATTTTGTCAGTTAAGGCATAGCAAAGTTAGCCTTAAAGCTTGCATTCAGATCGGACTCCATCCAAACAACAACCTAAAGATAGAAGCAGCACCAATGTATGTCACAATACGGAAGAAAAGATCTGACACTACTTTCATTACTTTGCAACTTCACTATGGAATGCCATTTCATGTTGACCTTGAGGCCCAAAAACCCATTTTACATACACAATCAGACATTTCCAAGTAAAACTGGGTGATAAGAAAAAGTAGGGCACTTGACTTTATCAAATGGTAACTAATTGGATCCTAAAAGTGGACGTTACATAGCTGAATGGAGGCGTGTAGCTGAAGTGGAGTGGTTGGAAAGTGTAAGGATTTGTAACAATTGCAAATCTCTTTATGCACCTCCGTTTTTTTAAGTGAACACTGCCAAACTTATCCACAAATAATATTTTTTCACTCAAAACCTGACGTGTATCAGCTCAGATCAATGAGGCCTTCGATCAATCAGTTCCAAAAACAAATACAAAACCTGTGCTAATTAACAAAAACAAGTTGACAAAAAGACTGAATCCGAGATTTGGTGATAATATCATAATGAGAGACTTGCAAGCAATTTTTCAAAGGCCAGCCATTTTTGACTGGGGACACTCAGGGCCGTCCTTAGGGGAGTGCAACTGGTGCGATCGCACCGGGCCCCGCAGCTCGGAACTGCTTGGTCCGTTTGCGACCGTGTTCCGGGTGGTGGTGGGGTGGGGGCTCCCTACCTCGCACCGGGCCCCGCGTAAGCTAAGGACGGCCCTGGGAACACGACACATGTAACAAGGTGGGGGAAAAAAAGGTACAAAAGCTGTCACTGGGGCGGTACCTTTTCAAAAGGGACACTTTTGTACTAATATGTACACTTTAGGTACTTATATGTATCTTTAAGGTACCAATATGGACTCTTTAATACAAAGGTGTGCCTTTTGAAAAGGTACCGCCCCAGTGACAGCTTTTGTACCTTTTTTTTCTGAGAGTGCGGCATCACCATGATTTTCCTTGGCATATTTTAGTAGTAACACCATATTTTGTGTAATAAGAAATGCACAATAAAAATAAGCATGGTGAGTTGAAAAAAAAAAATAATAATAAAATCTGAAGCACAAAAATCATAATTACTGCTGTCTCACCAATTCACCTGTGAGACAACCGCTTTCGTTTTCTGTCTCTCTGTGGATTTGGTCAGACAGTATCATGCCCCCATAATGAGCAGACGTCTGGTGTCTATCAAAGCCGCTGATAATAACTAATGCATAGAATTGATTTGAAAGTTCACTACGGATCCACAGATTCCCCTGTGCTGATACTCAGCTCACATGCTTTCACACTGACGCTGCTGAGACCTTCTCTTTCTCTCAGAGTTTCACCTCCTTCTGAGACATTTGGAAGGAACGTATTGTCCCTTCAGGATTCATATAAAATATTCTATATTTTCACTCCAGGAAAGAAGCATAGAAAGGTATATTTGTAGTATTAACGGACTAAATCAATAAAATGCTATATTTGGACTTTATATTTAATCATTGATGCATGATTGAAACCTGTCAAGAACATGTTCAGGTCATATTTCATCCCAAAATAAAATAAATAATTTGGAAATAAAGTATTTATACATAATGGTAGTATTACAGAACTGTATTTTGTTTACTGTACTACACAGTAAGAAAAAATAACATTATTATTATTGATTTTTTTTTTCATTGTCACTTTTTCGTTTGAGGATGAAAGAATTTTTCACTCAAAAATTGACAATACAATGTACAAAATAAGTAATACAATGAATTAAACATCACATTTTGAAGTAGTATTGAAATAGTATTTTGTGTATGTACTAGAATAATCTTTGTTTTATTTATTTGTGTAAATGATAATTGGAAGCTAAAATCATGGTTCATTTAACTATAAAATTACAAAAGGCTCATATGACTGTGACAAATATTGATATTCATTTTAAATAGTCTTGGTAACAATTGATGCACAATCGACTTTCCCTTCGGACTCCCCCCCAGAACTGCATGAAAAAAAAAGTCAAAACTGTGAGATAGAAATTAAGAATTATAAGAAAATATAAGAAAACAAACAAAAAAAAAAGGAATTGTGAGATACAATGTCACAATTACCTTTTTATTAATTAATTCACATTTTTTTTACACAGAATGAAAGCTATTTCATGCTTTAAAGTGCCTCTAAATCTGGGAAAACATCAACTATAATGAAATAAAATATTTGCTAATTAAATGTTATTTGCAAATATATGAAAGTATATGACAGACAGACAGACAGACAGACAGACAGACAGATAGACAGATAGATAGATAGATAGATAGATAGACATGCATACTCATGACTACTCTTCTCTGCAGATAAATAGTATTAATTCTGACAGATGATGTCATTACTGTACTTACAGGGACCAAAGATAGCACGTCAAAGAGACATTCAGTCTACAGTAGATCTAAATTCTTTGTAAAATCTATGCCTGCCTTTCACTGCCTTTTTTTTACAACTAGCTGCATGCAACACAGCAAACGTCAGAGATATGAACATGATTTCATAAGGACTTCACCAAAGGACTGATGTGAATTTCTTATCCCAGCTGCAGGGGAAATGACATCAGCACATGGAGTGCCTGGGGAAACAGGAGCGGTAGAGCTCAACATGAGCATGTCTGAGTGAGAGTCACTCATCTACAACACTACAGCACTGCTGCTCTGAACACACTTAGACTGCTGGAGAAAACACCGATGGAGATGTCCTGTCTCTAGTGAAATATACTGTACAGCTTATTCCTTCCAGGATATACTTACACCATTTTCTTGACATGTTTGATTTTTACAGATAAAGAATAGTCTAGCTGTCATTCATGTCTATGGAAGCCATAAGAAAATTTATAAGACGAGGGCTATTTCCAGAATAACATACTAACATATGTGACCCTGGAGCACAAAACCAGTCTTAAGTTGCTGGGGTATATTTGTAGCAATAGCCAAAATTATGGGTCAAAATTATTATTTTATGTCAAAAATTATTAGGATATTAAGTAAAGATCATGTTCCATGAAGATATTTTGTAAATTTACTACTGTAAATGTATCAAAACTTAATTTTTGATTAGTAATATGCATTGCTAAGAACTTCATTTGGACAACTTTAAAGGCGACTTTCTCAATATTTTGATTTTTTTGCACCCTAAGATTCCAGATATTCAAATAGTTGTACCTCGGCCAAATATTGTCATATCCTAACAATCCATACATCAAAGGAAAACTTATTTATTCAGCTTTCAGGTGATGTATACATCTCAATTTCGAAAAATTGACCCTTATGACTGGTTTTGTGGTCCAGGGACACATATTTACTCATACTGTTTTTGTACTATATACTCTTTGCATCATGTGAATTTTTAGTACTGAAATTAAATGGCATGAAATAACTGACCTAGCCTAGCTAAAATGCATTGAGTTAAAGCTGAAATTAAATAAAAAATACTAGATGAAACACTTAAAACCTACACAAAAAAAATAAAAAAAATTATAAAATATATATATAAAATGAAAATTTGTAATGCATTGTCAACTAACTGAAATAAAATACTAAAAATACAAAACCTAAAAATGAAATAAATAATTATAATATATATTTAGAATTACATATATAAAAATGACAAAATGGTTATTATAGTTAACTAAAACTGAAACTAACTTGAAATAAAATAAAAATGACTTGAAATAAAATATATATTAACTGAAATAAGATAAAATATAAAGAAAACAACTTTTATTTCAGCTAGTTGCCAAGACAACATTTCTTATTTTAATTACTATTAATAGGCATATATAAAATACAAAAACTACTAAAAATGACAAAAACAAATTTACTAAAAAACTTTAATTAAAATTAAAAATTAAAAACAGATTCATAACATCAATAAAAACAACATACAAATAAATAATAAATAACAATAAGAATAATAATTACTAAAACTTGATTATTATTCAAATGAAAACTGAAAATATAAAAGTACAAGCAAATTCAAAATATTAATAATAAATAGTAAATAAATAATACTAAAATTAAAACAAAAATTACAAATTGACTGTTCATATCTTCATTGTGCTTAGCAACATGCTAACTAAATACTTTATTAAAAACAATTGTGAGTTTATATACATGTCTACACAGAGAGTTCCAAGTATGCACTGCATTCTCAATGTTTCCACAAGAGGCACTATAATGTATATCCTGTCTTCTTCTATGACCAGTTTTCCCTTTCAGATCAACAGCTGTCTTGAAGGAGCAACAGTTTGAATCTTGCATAGCAAGTTAAAATCGACAGAATTTATAGTTTGCTACCTGAATAAAAACACATCCGACTAAATGCACACGCTTGCAATGCAAAGCATTTGCATTTGTGTTTACATACAAGCTTGATGGCCTTAGAAATCAGTTGCCTACGTGAAACGCCAGCTCACAGCTATTATCTTTTTTACAGCGTTTTTACGGTTGAACATACCACTAGTTCTCTCGATCCTGAAACCTCCTCACTGAGCAAATATCCCACAAGCATGTTAAACTGCCTTGTATAATTCAGCGAATTCAAATTCTGATCACTCTCGCCGTCTCTCCTATACAGCTACTTTTACAGAGCTTCATTAATCTTTGTTGAAAACAATGACATACATCTTTAATGTGCTTGCTGTCAAGTCGCATTTCAGTTAGAGTGCAGCAAAGTGAATGACAGCAAGCAATATTAATAAATTTAACATGGACTGTATACATTTTTAACAGAACAAGAATGGGAGGCCGGGCTCATCTACCCCTCCCTCCCTCCCTCTGTGTTTTCAAACTGACGGATTTTACGGCAAACGGGACGGGCGCGTTTTCTCAAAGTTGAGGCCCTCAGTATAAATAGATTTACATGTCATTAATAAGTAAATTAGGAAAACGCCTTTCAAGTGAAGACAAGTACATAAGCATAATCTCCATATTAAAGGAGTATCCTTTGAAAAGCCACAGAGGAATTTGAGGAGTCAGGCGATATGTCATGCCGCTCTCGTCTGCTTTCTCTACACCTTTAATTACGGAGGAGTTTGATTATGGATCCAGCGTCTCACCAGGAAACGAGCTGCATGCAGAGCCACCTATGATCATTTCCTACACACCGAGGCCTGGTTTTCCAAGTTGAATTAGTGACAGCTCTCCTCATACTCGTTTCTTACTGCTATAATAATATTAAAATATTAAGATTAATTCCATCAAAGCTCACTCGAAGAAGAAGAAAAAAAAAGAACGAATCCAAAAATGACGATTAAGGATGCTATTTCAAATTAAAAAAATTACTGCTGTGATTTTTGGCTTTCCCTCCAGGTCCCAGCAGAGATAATTTGCTGTACGTTTAAACCCGATGAGAACCCAGTCTGTCTGTGTTAAATAAGAAAGTTACGCTTGATATGAGACATGTTTTCGCAGTAGCTTTAGCGATTATAGGAAATCATATGCAAAGCCGGAGTCCTGATCCGAAGTTAATTTATAATTGTGTAGAAGTTATTAATTAGCCAACGTGTTATTAGAAGAGCATGCACTACAAAGGATTTATATTACGCACAACAACGCGGGATGGAAGCACTTCCGTAGTCCCTTTTTTCTCTCTCCCTCTCTTTTCCCTTTCTCCCAGGATGTTTATTTATTTGGATAAAACCTTTCAAGAGGAACACAAGTTTGAACCCCTGCCAGGATAGGTGTTCGTTCAAAGCCACAGCGTGCTTCCAAGGTTACGACTGTTGTTTTTATAAAGGGACGTCTGTGTTTGTTAATTGCATGCTTGAAATCTATTTCACAATATGGATGCATGTAGAAAATGATTTGCAATGTGTTTAAAAATCCAAAAAATGCAGACATGTAATCCGTGTGACCCAAATATCTGAAGTCTGTCTCACCCTCCAGTGAATGCCACATTGAAACACCCTGGAAATACCATATTGGATCCAATTTTCCATCATAGGCTGGCTGCCAAACTAATTAATTTAGTGTGGAATGGGCAGTTAGCTCGCACTGTGCCGACAGCAGAACACATAAATAAAGATCATGACGATAGCACGTATCCCGATGAGCAGATTGGACACATATGCACACTTACTGTCAATCAAAGTTACATCCGTGATGGGCTGCCTGCCTCTCTGCAATATGGTGCAGTTAGCGGCGCATGCTGCGGAGGAAGAGCCAGATATTCAGCACGAGCGATACACGCATGATAGCATAACTAAAGAATATGGGGATGAATTAACGTCAGATGCTCAGTTGCTAAAAGAAGTAGTGTCGGGGAAGTGATTTTGAAAGGGGAGCTTTGCAAGCTTCAAGCTACTCATAAAATGAGTGGCACTTTTAAAAATGCAGACTGCTACGCAACATACAAAATAGCAAGCTACACCGATATCTTATTGTGTAACCATCATTTGAAGTATTTCACATTAATATTTATCTGGCACAAAAATCTCAAATTCAGTGACAGCAACGGATACATATTATACAAACAATGTTGAAAATAGTGAAACAGTGTTAATTTTGAAGGCACTTTTTGATTTAGTTTTAGTCATAGTCTTTTGACTAAAATGCCATTTAGTTTTAGCCATATTTTAGGCATCTGAATTGTTTTTAGTTTTAGTCTAGTTTTAGTCGACTAAATATCATACGATTTTAGTCGACTAAATCTACAGTAAATTTAGTCAGCTAAAATCTAATGGCTTTAGTTACAGTGCATTTATTAAGCATTTCTCTAAAATTTCCAAACTCATTATATAGTTTTGATATTAAGGTTTCATAATGATAGACACCGATTTAACTGCGGTGACACACAACATGCCTTCATGTTAAAATTAAATAAAACCACTTCTCATAAAGAAAAAGAACACAGTCTTCTTTTTAATGAAATACTAATGGTTATGTAGGCTAATTATGCATTCTTTATAGCAACTTGTTTACCATATTCTTCATTTTTTTCTATAAATAAATTTAGATTCATTTTTAGGGCTACTAAAGTTTTTCAGTCAAGAACAGTGTGTGATTTTCTGTCTTTCTGTTGTTGCTCGGACAATAGCAACTGAATTAGGCTGCTATCCCTTTAAAACACTTTCTGTGTGTGTATGCTTCAGTGTCTTTATTCGTTGACGAAAAAGTCAATAGATTTACGTCATAGTTTTTGTCATTCAAAAAGAGTTTTAGTTCGTTATCGTCAGTGAAAAAAAACGTCGTTGATGAAAATGTGACGAAAATTATTCGTCAACGAAATTAACACTGCAGTGAAAAACAGTAGCATTAACTCGCTAAAAAGAAATGGGATGACTGCTCAGTGACTCAAAAAATTCATCCAAATGAACAAATTCACTAAAATGAATCAGATTTTCCAATGTGACATAAGAGAGACTTTGTAGGAAAGCAAAAAGCACCAATGTTCCATTTGTTGTTACTTGAAAAGCTACACTGAAAAAAAAATTAAGTAGGATTTACTTAAAAAAAGAAAATTTTCAAAATGTAACATTGAATTCAATGTGATTCTTCTTTGTTTGTAGAAAGACTGCAATAGCATTTTCTTGTAAAACATATTCCAAGTCTTTTAATTTCATTTACAACTTCGGAAAAATAATTTTTACAGTGTACACTTTTCTGAAAACAGCTGAACTACAATACTAAACAATTTTATTAGTATAAATACTTTTAGTGATAAGAAATACAATTTTCTAAATAATATAGATATTGTTTCTTTTAAACAACATTGCATTGATCAAAATTGCAACGTTAGCCAAACAACAATCTTTACAGTTCAAATTTAGCCAGTTTACCATAGACTGATATCAAATCAATCTTTGTAAAAAGGTCTCGAGTTCACTTTCAAATGGCTGATTCTGGTCAGTACGCATATGTGTACTGTGGCTTAAATTATTGTGGAGTGGTCCGTGTACCAGACAAACACTTTGGATATGCTCAAAAGGAGCCCCATCTCAAAGGAAGTGCATCCTCAAAGAAATGGAGTATATCTGAAATTCTTTTTAATGTCTGGATAGGCAGCAGAGTGAAGCCGCGGCCTACTGGTGACTCTACCATTAACGAATGGCCTAGATTCATACGACCCCGTCTCTCTCTCCTTCTCTCTCTATCTCACGTTCACTGATGCAACACATCTGCTTATTAGAGGTGCAAAACTATAAAACTACATACAAGTACACATATGGGTCATTCCTGTTATGCAGACCCTTTAAAAAAAAGTAAGATAACTTAAAATGTGCACTTTATTTTAAAGGTAGCATGTAAAAAATCAAATGGTACACAGCTAATAAAAAGTTACAATTTTTATTTTTGTCACTTTGATATTCTTTAACCATTTTTTGATATCAAATTGATTTCTGAAATTTGATCAAACCATATAGTAGGGTGAAACAAACCTACTATTACCACAGCAAAACAAAACAAAACAAAAATCAATCCAATCCATTGCTAATGCTTACTGATGTTGGTGCTGTTGTTTTCCCTCCAAAGTGATGTCACTTCCTGGAATGTGATGTCATTAAGAAACTAGATACAGGAATATCAGTAAATTATTAGGATGAAAAGTGATATTGAGAATACAAGGACATCTTATAAATTGATTTAAAAAACACTAATAATGTGTAGAAACAATTTTCACTAATAAATTGGTAGTACATTTTACAAATATATATATATATATATATATATATTAGGGATGCACGATATATCGGTCACCATATCGGTATCGGCCGATAAATGCTCATTTTTTCTGTTATCGGTATCGGCCTGATAAGAAA